CTTTCAAAATTATCCCAACTGAAGAGAAAACAACATAAATTTCCACACTAAAATAATAACAAATTAAAATAAAACTCCTCAGATCTTGAGGCAAACAAAGCAGAGTGGCCCAAGAGTTTTTTCTATACTTTCAAAACTATCCCAACTGAAGAGAAAACAACATAAATTTCCACACTAAAATAATAAAAATAAAAAAAACTCCTCAGGCCTTGAGACAGAATGACCCAAGAGTTTTTTCCATACTTTTTAACAAAAATTGAATACAAGTATAACTAGCTGTAAGTATACACAAAATCAACAAAATAAATATACATAAACCTATTATAAAAATATTATTATTCTAAAATTATTTTATATTATCTTTTATATAATTAATTATTTTATATTCTATTTAGATTATATTATTTTATCATTATAAAATTATATTCTATTCTATATATTATATTATAGATATATTCCACTCTATTATATAAAAATCAGTTAGGAGTAAGAAAAAAAATAGATCAAAACTTCTGAAAAGTACACATACTCTTATAAAACAAATCCCTGCATACAAAAATCCCAGCGTGCATCCAACACTATAATAAAACACCGTCACTATAAATCTGTATTCAAATTGTAGAGTTTTAAGCTTTAATTTTTTATTAAATAATATTTTATTATTTAAATAATGTCAGTTATTTAATATATATATTATAATATATATATAATTGTTTCTTAATTAAATTAAATAATAATTTATTTCACAGCAAAACCATCCCGCTGGGAGACAGCTGGAAAAACCAAATTTTAAAATAACCCCATGAGTTTTTTATTTTTATTTCACTGAGCTGAGCTTGGCCATCCCAGCTGCCAGCAGGGCTGGTTCCCCTCATCCTAAGGAATATTGGGATGGAATCCTCCAACCCTAATAACCACTATTAATTGGCCACTGGGGACTAATTGGGCTCATTAGGCTGATGAGGATGAGCCAACCCCACTGGGCAGGATGGGGGAAGTGGTGGCACCATTCCCTAAATTCCCAATTTATTCCTCATCCCTTCCATGTCCATCTGCTTTGCTCCCAAATCTGCTTGGTCCCGTTAAGCCCTTCCAAAAGGAGATTTTTCTGTGGGTTCAAGGTTCTCTAAGCGGGTTTTGTATCCTTCATTTTTGGCCCTGGGGTTTTTTAAGCACAGCTCGAGGTTTAATGCAGCTTTTAAAACACCCCATAGCAAAAAAAACATAAGAAAATCAAATTCGGTTTAAAAAGAGAACTGAGTTTGAGGGTGCTCTGGCTGGGTTAATTTTCTACCCTGCGTTTAGCTGACAGCATTGTGATTTCGATTTAAAAAAAAAAAAAAAAAAAAAAAAAAAAAAAAAAAAAAAAAAAAAAAAAAAAAAAAAAAAAAAAAGGCAACAGGCCAAACTCAAAAAATTTCTGCTTAGGGATTGGCCAGGCTGGGATTGGAACTGGTCTGACAGGAACCAGGAGTTCAGATATGATCCCAAAACCTCCTGGTTACCCAAATGAGGCTCCAAACCAGTCAAGCCGGAAATCTTACCATAAAAAAAAAAAATAAAATAATTAAATAAATAAAGAAAAGAGAGCGCATTTGGCATTCAACCAAGGGTTAAAACCCAAGCTGCTTGCAGGGACTGAGGCTTTGCAAGTCAGCAGCTTGGGGTGTTTTATGTTCACCTAAAAGGCAGCAGCAGTTCCCACGCCTCGCTTGGACTCCTTGTGGGGTTTTTTTAATTATTTTTAGGGTGAGTGTGGGAATGCAGAGCTTCCCTCTGGCTGCCCTGGGACCCTGGCAGGGGTCAGGAACCCCCCTGGACAGAGCCCCCAGAGACACTGGCTGTGATCTCTGGCCATGGAAAAGAGTTTTCAGTCTTACAGGGTGAATTACCAGCTCTGAGTGTTTGATAGAAGTCATAATTAAGTGTGGCACGGGTGCAAAAGTAAAATTTTAAGATTCTAAATTAAGAGTCCAAAGGGGACAAGATGGAGGAAATTGGGTGTGTCTGATCTCTGTCCATGGAAAAGAGTTTTCAATCTTACAGCATGAATTACCAGCTCTGAGTGTTTGATATGAATAATAATTAAGTGTGGCACGGGTGCAAAAGTAAAATTTTAGGATTCTAGATGAGGGTTCAAAGGGGACAAGATGGAGGAAATTGGGTGTGCCTTGTCCTTTTTCTCCTTCTTCATGCCCTCCA